TTGACTCGTTCCACCTCTTCTTTCCCGCTTCTCGGTTTCCTTCGCACGGCTTGACTCGACCACGTGCTAACTTACGAGCTACGATCGCTGTACCCTTCCACGTTTTCTCCTCTTTCTCTCTTTCTCTTTCTCTCCTACATTCCATCCGGCTTTCTTTCTCTTCCTCTCGCCCATCTTCCTGCTGGGTTCCTCGTCCCATAGCTGCTGCCCTCGCGTCGTATCGTTTTTTCGCTCCCCTCAGGACCACTCTAGATTATTAATCCACCAGCGAGAGAGGATCCGTGACGTTCGCAGAGAAAATTATGGGCTGAGAGCGCGGTCAAGGTGCTGCTACGTTAACAAGCGTTAGCGCGGAACGTAGAGGGAGGATAGCGGCTTCACGAAGATACGAGATCGCGTTCTCGTCAAGAAACTGGGGGCCTTGCCGCGGAGATCACACACTGCAATCTCGATCAAAACTGATATCCGGTGACGTGGTTTGTTCCGCGAACTCTTCGACCAAAGCGAGAACTTTCGAGTGCCTCGAAACACGGGAATTATTTGCGATCCTCGCGAGAGCGGCCTGATCCATGATGTTAAAGTTACACACAATGTAAGACGAATTATAAGAGTCCCGCGTCCGAAAAAAAGTAGCGTGCTATATAAAAAGTGCTGCGCCACTTCACGTTATAATGCACTGTGAAGATTCAATTATCGCGAACGAGATATCTTCCCGCGCGCGGAATTCTCTCTCTTTCCGAAATAGATTCCGAATCTCTTTCTGGCAAACAATACGCCAGAAAGACAACTCTTTTTTATCACACTTATGTTTCACCCGAGTAGAGATGTAAAAAAAATATACTTGATAGAAAAAAAACTAATATCAAAACAAAACTAAAATTGTGAATAATATTTTTTCACGTGTAAAATGTAAATGATAGCCTTCCACCTTCGGAATTTGGTTTGTATGAACGAAGCAGATATTGAAAGCAAATGAGACAAAGCGGCGGAAAGAGAAGGAAAGTGATAGCGCGCTAGACAGAGATGAAATAAAAGGATGAGAGAAAAGAAAGATAAGGAAGAGAGAGAGAGAGAGAGAGAAGAGAGAGAAAGAGGTCGGCAGGGTTCAAAGAGCCGACACAGTGGTTAAAGAGCCTTCTTCCTCTCTCCATCTCGACACGCACAAGTACAAGACGCAACCTTTCGAGCTGAACAGAAGGGTGGGAGAGCAGTGTTCTCGCTTTTTTTCTTACAGCCTTTCTCTCTCTCTCTCTCTCCCTTCTTTCTTCCTTTCCTCTCACATCGGCGCAGCAAATTTATTTCACGTTCCTGCCTTTTCTGGACCTTTCACAATATTTGGCCACGCTTTAGCATCCGATACCGACAGACACCGGTCACCAAAAGATATGGCTTTGAGCCATTCGTGATGGATGGTTCGCTCTTCAGACTGCCACGAACCACGGCTGTTTTCTCTTTTCTCTTTCTACTTCTATCTCTATTTATCTATCGTTGGTTCCTCAGCTTTCTTCTCTACAGACGAAATCCAGGGCCGCTTAGTTTTGAGACACGCGAGATGTTAAAATCAAAATTGTGACACGCGTACACGAAACACGTAAATCGCAAATTAGAACTTTGATTCCAAAACAAAATGGTATTCTCTCTCTTTCGACATAAATTTCCGTAAGAAATTCCCACGAGATAAATCTTTGCCCATCCTAAATTTATCGATCGTCTACCGACCATTTCATGGCGCGACACGCGAGACTATCGAACGTTGAAGAAGTACTCTACAGCGCGTATCGCTGCGAAAGTATATAGTCGTCCGGGGGACCAAGCCGTCCCTGGAACGACGGACCCTTCAGCCCCGGGACCGTTCTCCACCGCGTGTTCGTGCAGGTATATAAATTCTAGTGCTATTATTGGGGTTTGCGCCTTCTCTCACAAGGCCCTCTGGACCCCACGGCGGCCTCTTTGAGCTACTCTTTTCGCCTCTCTCGCTCTCGGTGCCCTTTCGCTCCCGCTTATCGTTCTCGACCTCCGTCCTGGACCCCTCAGCATCGCCGTCTCATCTCCTTCTCCTCTTCCTCGTCCGTCGCCGCCGCCGCCGTCGTCCTCCGTTCCGTCTCTCTCTCTCGTCAGTTATGCCGCACCGCCCCTATGTCCTGTTTGTTTTTCCTCGCGTCGTCTTCCGTTTGCTAAACGCACCTTAAATTACGCGGCCGATGATAAATATTTGAGCCGTCCATTACACGAAAAGACCCAACTCGGACCGTCGTTCGGACCAACGTTACCCTCCTCTCTTGCTCGACATTAGGGATCCTCGGGGATATCGTGTTACCTCGAAAAGGAGACAGCTGAGTTGTACATCGGCGATGCACCGATGATGGTAATGGGCCACGTTTCGTCAATAGAAATTTGCGGGATGAAGAAGAATTTTCGGTCTGTTGCAGCTTGACATGGGCAACAAAGATTCCGAAGAAGTCGATCGCATCGGAGGTTTTAAGTTAGGACGCGTTCGATTAAATTTTGGATTTTTCATGTTTATTTGAAGATTACGCGTTACAAGGGAATTCTATTCCTATATATAAAGTAAAGCAACGTTGAAAAATTCTCTATGAGAAAATTGAAATTGTGAAAGGTATAGGGTATGTTCACGATAAGAATCGTACGCGCTATCGCAGGATCTATCGAATATCGGTCCATACGTATATTTATATATGAGCTGCAATCCTTATCGTAGCTTAGAGATTTGACGAATAGACGCAATAAAAACGGATCGATAGTCGTGGTATTTTTTCATCGACCGGAGTCGAATATCACGGGTCCAGCGCGACAGAGAGGAATCTTAATCACGTTGAAGAGGACCACCGACAATTCTCTCTTCGTCCACTTATATATTTTCTCACGAGATGCAACGATTTCTCTTTCTCTCTCTCTTATACTTGCGCCGTTACTCGCACCTCTCTCGATATATAGCGGAATTTTATTTTCGATCCGCGTTCTCTCTCTCTCTCTCTCGCCGCGAGATTCAAAGTGCCTCGTAACAGGATTATGAAATGTTCCGGAGTAGCGTTCCGCGCGGATGTTTACAGCTCGCGAATACTCGTTACCTTTTATTACCGCCAAGTTTCAGCGATTTCTGGCATCGGGCCCCGCGTTAACGAGCGACATTTTATATTTTCATCGGGCCGTAATTCTCCCTCTTTCTTCGCGCAGGGTGTCGCGTACAGTTGCGACTATTTTGTATTTCCGGGGATACCGAGGGAAAGTCGAGTGAGGAAAATCGAGTTCACGACACCCATGATAAGTATTGTGGACTCTATATAGAACAACGGATTTGCCTTTTAACGAATATCGTGGATTTATCTCTGATACGGAGATTCGCTGCTTCTTGTATCTATGAAGAATGTTTTTATCTTATTTGGGTATTTTAGATGTTATATGTTTTTTCCAAGAAATTCGAAATTGATTTCCACTTGATAAGATTTTAAATATTCATCCAAATTTCTTCTTTCGTCATGTATACCAGAACTGAATTTATATTTTCATCCCCCATTTTCTCACGTTCATAGATCTAAAGAGTTTCAACAAATTTCATAAAATCGAGCTTTGAATTTGTATTTCAAAAATAAGCAATAAATATACAGTTTCCTACTTCCAAAAAAATTAATTTTACTTTCGAAAAAAAGCTAATTTTACATATAAAGTATCAAGGAGCGGCGCTTCGCTAGCATTTATAAGATCGATGACGAATTATTTTATTACGAGAGGGAGAGATCGAGTTACTTATTTTTCCCAGTCGTAACACACGATTGTGTAGCTATCGTCGGAATATGCGTCGGGCACGTTTCGGAGCAACGTTATGTAAATTCGGACAGCCAATGATCGTGCGCACGTGTGTTCAGGAAAGATGTTTATTATCAGTAAACCGAGCTCTCTTTGACGTCTACTCCCCTTTCTCTGCTTATCCCCGCAGTAGGAGGCTTAGACTTTCATATCAGTCGACGTGTGGCCGCGCTCGGCCTCGGTACGTCTTATCCGCGCGGTACATTCCGTCGCTCAATGCTATACGATCAGCGGTGCTTAATTCGCCTAATTAGTTCCCAATGGCATGCGAATATCAACCGCGCAATTTCTTGATCCAGACGCTCGATGATAGAAACAGCGCGCGTTCGTTCGTAGATTCTTCGATCGAGTGTTCGATAATGAACAATCTCGTGTATGTCTGCGTTTGTCAAAAACATGGGAGAGCGACAACGTTTTCCGATCAAATATAATTCTCGAAGACCAATCGATCACTTGTACCATGCTGCCCAAAATCACGCCATTTTGAGAAAAGATGCCGGATTCGACATCTTTCGCGTGAAAATTTCCCAAGGGAAAATTCGAAACTTACACGTCGAGAAAACCGACTAGAATTTATTATAAAAAAGAAGCAGAAAGGAAAGAGCGGAGGAAGAGAAAAGGACGAGGAATGCCTACGGCACACAAAGTATCCCTCAAGGTCATCCCCGTAGGCCTCGCACACTTAGCACGTTACTTTCGTCGCGAGGGTGTCGACGCGTGCCTCGGGGAAGTAGAAAATCACCGACTTCGGTAGGTCGCAAAGAGATCTCGGGAGAGGGGATAGTCTTACACCCGTAGGATAATCTTACACGCTAAAAGAGCCGAACCTGAGCGAAACGAGAGGAAGCGCTGGAGGAGAAAAGAGAGCGACGTGCTCCGATAAAGAGAAGAACGAAGTAACAAGGTGAGACGGTATACGACGAAGAAGAAGTGCTGCCCGATCGTGCTGATAGTGGGGCAGACATCGAAGAAACATCGAAAGAAGAAAAATAGTCCGAGGAGAGACGGATGGACGGAGAACGACGAAGAAATGGTTCGCGAGAGAGCGAAGAGACAGAAGGGTCGAGAAGACGAGTAGAGGAAAGAGAAAGAGAGAGAGAGAAAGAACGATCGCATCTACGAAAGAGAAAGCTAGAAGCTACCCCCTCTGTTCTCTCTCTCTCTCTCTCTCTCTTTCTCTTTCTCTCTTTATCCCTCCTGTCACGTGCACCTGTCTTCGTTTACCTGATGAACGCCCCGCCTTAGCCAATAGAGGTACAGCGGGTCTGGTGACGTCAGTCACGCGTACCAGGAGGGCCTAGGTAGAGGGGACGAGATCACCCACCACCACCTTTGGAGGCCACGAGAACCCCACGGGGGCCAGCGGCTAACAGCAGCCAGCGGCAGCGGTCTGGCAGGCCGTTTGCCGCGGGGTGGGGGCAGGAAGAGGGGTACTCTGGCCAGGTCGCAGAAACAACGCAGGAGTAACCCACCAAAACCCATCCTGTATTTCCCACCACCGGCTCGTCCGGAAAACGTGCGCCAGCTTCCGGACGGCGTTTCGTCCGAGTTCAGTCAAGTGAGTCGACTCGTACATACCTTCTCTCCGACACGAAAACCGATCCCAAAGGGGTTATAGGTACTGTCCGAGTGACGAGAAGGGTTTTAAAGGGCTCTCTCTTTCTCGCGGTTAGGTCGATTCTCGCGCGCGACATTCGGGATGACTGTAGAATGTAGAAAGGATCGATTCGACCGATCTCTCGGGAAGCTGTAACCTGTCGCGCGCGTTCATCAGGGTTCTCCCCGGGTTCGAACCGTTCCGTTCCGTCGGTCCCGCGCATTGTGATTAGCGACAACGACTGCATCGGTGGTAAAAGAAAAAAAAAAAGAGTGCGTGCACTCGGGAGGGGTGTGTGATGCCCTGGTTATGGTTAACCGTGAGTGAGGTCAGTGGCGAGAGGCGGAATCGAAGAGGAAGAATCATCGATCGCGGAACGTCACCTAAGTCGTCGTCGTCGTCGTCGTTCTGCCAGCCGTTTGGCAGACGGCGAGAATAGTGACCGCGCAAGGTCGACCTCGAGGCAGAGGCACGCGATTATGGTGCACTATCATCATCGTCGTCGCGGCCTCCAGGCGAGCCACCACTGCGCCACCAGGAGACGCACGTGCGCCTCGTTCTTCCACGCGTTCCTGCTCATCTTCGGCATCTGGCAGCCCGTTCTCGAGAACAACGGCTTCGTCGTGGCGTGCGGACCTGGCAGAGGTGGCGGCCGACGGCCGGGCATCAGGAAGCTCACTCCCCTGGTATTTAAGCAGCATGTGCCCAACGTCAGCGAGAACACCCTACCGGCGAGCGGACTCAGCGAGGGACGGATGATTAGGGACGATTCCAGATTTAACACTCTCGTGCCCAACTACAACGTGGACATAGTCTTTAAGGACGAGGAGGGTAGCGGCGCGGATCGTTTCATGACTCAGGTGAACGAGCGATCTTTTCCTCGGGGATGCGAGAAAAGGCGCGAGTAGATGAGGAACCCTTCCTTTTAATCGATTCAACGAAATATACTCTATTTATGTACTTGTAAATTATATACGTCGAAATATAATAGAGCAATGTCGCTATTAATTTATTGGATAAGTCTAGTAAATCGAAAAAATTGGATCGTATAATCTTGATCTCGTTTTAACACGAACGTTCCGTATAATTATATACATCGCCTTCATCTACTTGCGTCTTTAATTGCTTCTCTGATATACACGTAAAGTGAGATACTTGTTTGATCTTTATCTTTATCGCGACCGCAAACAAAGTTAAATAACTTTGATCAAAAAATTTAGCTGGAGCAAAGGAAATCAATCGACGATACGTTCTTACAAACGCAATCTGTTCAAACGACAAACTTGTTCGATCGCGCACGTGACCTCGCGTCACCGGTAGCAGAGACGTACTTTGGAAGTGTGGCAGCTATATAATGTCACGACGATGACAAAACTGCGTCAAGTTGCGATAAAGACGGCCGTCCTTGAGGTGTCCGTCGCGCCGGTGAATCATTCCGCGAAACGACACGGCGTTTACGAGGGATATTACACACCAACCGATCGATCGGTCGATCGCGTTCCGTCTCATATTAATTAAAGTGACAATCGGACGCGACGTTATCGGGACGTCATCGAGTCTCACCTTTCTCCGCTTCCTCGTCAATTTGCCTGGGTGCAGAAAAATGGTGAGGGATGCGATCGCTCCGAGGGCAAAAGTCAGGAATTTCTCCCCATCAAAGATTTTATCCTCGTCTTTAGAGAAATTGGTCGGTGTTATATATGTATATAAATTCTCGTCTCTCCTCCGTTTCATTCCGTGTATCAATATTTTCTATGTATCATGACTTTGATCCGTACAAATGAAACGCCATACATTACAAAATACTACTTACGATACGTAATAGTATTTGTGACTTATACTAATAAACGATTGTCACATTGAAGATTACGTAGAGCTCGTGTAATTCAAAGAAAAAGATTATTCCAAGAATTGGGAAAAATATTAAGATTCCTTTCTCACGTCTATTATTTTCTATTGAAAAATAGAGATAATAATCGTTTAATGCAATGCGCAAGGATTTATCACGTATTTATTATAATAATTGTCGACATTTATAGTATTTTAAATCCTATATTTAAAAATCTTCACGTAGTAAACAGGAATCTCTACAATTTTTAAAATTAATGTAATAAATCTAAAGATTTTTATAATTTTATCCGCTTGTCATAATATTTCGAACAGAGTTCTTTTTAATAATTTCGAAAGTTTATACTTTTTTTCTCTGAAATTGAAGAAAATCGATTTTTCGCACGTCTTTATCTCCGAGATTGATCTAACCCCGTGTATAGGTACGCAGATACTTTCACAAAAATGATCCGCACGTAACGGTACGTAATCGTAAATGCGTAAATTTATGAAGTACCTCGATGATAGCAATTTCCGATATATCGATCGAGTGTGTATCTCTCCCATGAACGATGCGCGAACATGCGTTTATTACTTTAATCCGTGTCACCGTACTCCGGACCGTATGACAAACTGGCTACTGCACATCGTTAAAACGTCGGCAGGTGATTCACGCGAAATGCTAGCTGCGTGATAAGCGGCTCGATCGTACTCGTTTTACTTGCACAAGACAAGATCGATAATTTATATAAGACGCTATACGTACTTTGAGCACGATTTTTCAATTCGCTATCAATCTCGAAAGGTAAGACTATACTTCCTCAGGATTTTCTTTTACAAATAACTATTTCCTTTAACTTGTTCACAAACCAATAAGGAAATGAAACAGATTAATGATAATCGGATAATTCTATGTCAGAAATAGACCATCAAGATTCATGTTGTATTTTTTCGAATTAAAATAATCACTGATCGAAGAACGGAACACAAGATTTTAGCAAAGATCAATGATTATTTCACTGAAAAATCAGCATCGGTGTTTCTGTAAAAATCAATTGATCATATTTGTAAGATGTAGCTCTTAAAGATTTTTCTATTTATTTCAAATTGCTATTTTCAAATGAAAATATATTCAACGATGTTCGAACTTGAAATGATTTGCGATACCGCGGGCATTTACAAATCGACAAGAGGAAATTCGATCGCGGCTCGTCCGTCGTCACCTTTAGGGAACCGAAGACCATTCGAGGTTTATTTCCATGGACCACTGAGGCTCCATTAGTGCGCTTTATTCATGCATTTTTTATCGATGTTTGCCTTCCACTTGGCGCCTCCGCGAAGCGTGAAACGATTCTCCTAACTCCGGACCCGTTGTATTCCAATTTGTAAGTCGACATCGCCGCGTCGCACAAAAGGTAGCCCAGGCGCCGCGGACCAGTGGTGCTTAAGCGGACAAACCCCCTGAATTTTTAAAAGCTTGTCTTGGAAAATATCCAAGTGTACCCATTTAATCACGAATTGTCGGCAAATAAGAAATCACGACAACGCGGGAACGCGACAAGTGTTCGATGTTTGTTCGATCGAAGCGACTTTATCGCAAACGCGCTAGAATATTTTTCACGAAAAATTGGATCGAGCTCCTCAAGAATACGTTATATATATATATATATATTTTTTCCAATTATATACCTATACATCGAATTTAATTACAATAATTAGACTTGCGTGTAAGTTTTTTTCAACTTATTTACACGACTATTTTGTGCCGGAGATATTTCAAACTGATCTGTGGTATTTGACACGTTTCCTGTGTAAAATCAATAAATGCCAAATAAAATGGGATAATAACAAATATAAATATGAATTTAAAGATACGTGGACATTGTGATACGAACGGTGTTGCTTAACAATATTTACAATTGATTTCCCGAGATAAAATTAAAGATAAATAGCGAGACCTTTGTTCGCACAATGTCTTTTAGGCACCGTTGTGCTTCGCACCGGTTATCGCCCTGTGTAAACTAACGGCCGAGGTGAAAATATGAAGAGTAGACTCTTTCCCTGGCCACGTATTTACTCGAATTTTGCAAAAAGGGCCGTCTTTTTATCGGCAGCGCCGCTAGACGAAGGTTGGACCGGCATCAAATCTATCACCCCATAGCGCGATATTTTCACTCGTTCAAATATTACCTCAAGCATTAGCCGCTCTCGCTAGGTACCTATATTTCTTTCTTTCTCACTTGGGTCGCACGGTACACGCTGTGCTTTTGTGAGATACCACCGAGTTGTACTAGGACCGACACTCTGTGTGGGCCTTTTTTCTGAAAAGCCGACAATCGATTTCCGGAGAGTCAATCGGCAAAGCCGATTTTCGACTACTTGACATCGCATTTCGAAACTATGGGATTTAACAAATTGATTTACTCCATGTTTATTTCTTTGCCAGAAATTCCGCAAACATCCTTATAACCATAAATCATCTATTATTCATCTATTTTACAAAGCTTTAGCTCTCAAATCGCAACTTAAACTTATTTTCATTCTCTAGACACCAGTTTTACGACATTATGTATAATCAAGGTAGAGGAAATAAATTTAATTAATGTAACTTTCGAATTATTAAATTCAAATTCAATCGACAGTTTTATAACAGTCAATGAGTGAAGATAATGAGCGTGCGATATATTAAGATAAATTTTAGAAAGTCGTTTTCGTTTTTTCTTGCAAGTGAAAATAAATTGTTAAAGCTAATAGCACGTTTCGAAGATAAAAAATATCATAGTACAATATTTTCTTCTCACATTGATTCTATTTAACGTAGTTGAATACTTGTTCTTTTAATTTATTAATGAGGAAAATAAAATTTATTTTTGCAACGCGGATTTGTCTGACTTGCGTTTGCGAAAATGTTGAGCGATGCTTCTTGCGGCTTACTCGGGCATTGATGTCTCTCGAATAGAGAGAGCCTCATCCGTCGGTAGCTCACGAGCGTTCTCGTTAACGATGAATCTCAAAACGGAAATAGCGATCGCATAAGCCAAGGATAATCCGGACGCGAGCGAAGACTCGCTCTTTGAAAACGTCGAAAGCTATTAGACTGTCGATAATTTTTGCTCCTTTAAAGATAATGACGAAATGATTGTGTGCCAAAATGCTCAAAGAGCATAAATCAAATAAGATGTTTACTTTCGCAATAAAGCTTAGCTTAAAGTGATTAATTGCCGTGTGCAATTTTCTTGACGCAACATCTCGACTAAATTGATTTTTACATCATTAACGTAATGAATTAATGAGACGATTATGTAATATACTTAAGTAATATGCCATAATCTTTTTTAGAAGCATTATGCGCGCAATTAATATTCCATATATTTATATCGCTAAACAAGCAGGCCGCGTGATTTCGAGTCTCTCCGGAAGGAGCATCAAATGTGGAAGGTGCATGAATCGATGCAACGCCTATGAAAAATCTTCGGGGACATAGCGAGACGACGAGATCGACACGACGGGAGGATCGAAAATTGCGCTAAGCGGCGATAAAAGGTGCGCGCGAGAAGACTCTCGGGAATAACAAATCGCCGGACAACTCGTCCTCCAGTCGTCCGGCTGCGTCGTCCAGCTGCTCATCCTCGTGACCGGCGCGACTAGCAGCCGTCGGTCGCGCGGAATAAATAGGGAGAAAAAGCGCGTATACCGCGCGCCGGCTCTAAGTGATTGTGGGTAGTTTTATGGCGGCCATAACCGGTGTTTGGTTTAGCGCGTTAAAGCTCCCCCAATTACGGCAAATAAACCTAATAGCGCTTCTCGTCCTTCTTCTCGCCCCGCATTTCTCCCCATCCCCGACCAAGCCATATATATTTCACACGAAATTCTCTTGGTTTTTTCTCTGCTCTCTCTCGTCGACTTCCCTTTTCACCGAAAAATCTCGTAATTTGTTCATCCTCGATCATAAATCCCAGAATCGATACAAGACTTGGCGATCGACATTAGACGTGAGATAATCTTTGATAAGCGTGATTGTTGCTCCCGAGTT